GAGACACCCTTAACTCTGGCCCCGTAAAACGCGGCGGCGGTTCCCTCAGACTTGAATGTCCTATTCGGGCCCTTGCGAGCGGACCGAAGCAGTCTGGTTTCCGACGGGCCCTACGCCTGATAGGGCACAGCCTACGCGCTTGAGTGGCCCGATCAGGCCTGCTCAGCGAGATATCAACACCGAGGTTTTTAACACCTTCAGCCCCTTGGAAATTCCACGCGCGCAACTTGGAAATCAGAGCTTTGGGGACTTTCCTGGAAGACGACGTGAACTGGCACCTCTTACGAGAAACCTTGAGCCCCTCGAGCTCTAGTCGGCTACACAGATCTAACGTACCCCTAGACAGCATGCGGGCTACGTGGCCCTCTCGGCCTGTGCAGGGCAACGTGCAATTGTCGACCGCCAGGTACGCGGTGAGCGCGGTCTCTCGGATCACCTCATCCAAGATGGGCAGGAGGAACACGCAAAGCAACGTCGTGGCGAAGGCGCAGCCTGCGATGATGCCCTAGGAGATGCGAAACGAGTCCTGGGAGATGAAGACCCCAACCTGCAGGGCCCTCGGCCCAGAGTACATGATGACGAGGAGGGCCAGCCTACGAAGGTTGAACTGGAGCTCCTGGCCCCTCCGAAGAAGCCGAACGTGGGAAACCATCTCATAGGCTTTCTGGAGGTCCACAAGGGGGGTGCTCGCCGAGGCCTGGTGATTGGCCTTGGCCCACGCAGCCACGAACGCCTGCCTCCACACCGCCTGCTCACACGACTTGCCCCTGATACCAAACGCCCAGTCTCGCGGGAACGAGCTCTCCCACTGAACCGCGCAACCCCGTCGAAGAGCCCCAAGGACACGGCGGAACGTGGTAATAATCCCAATCGGTCTACGTCCCCCTTCGGGCTTCTGAAGAAACCCAATGATAACTTTCCACAACTGAAACGGGAACGACATCAGCTCCTCGACCTTCCAAAGTACCAGCCCCAGACACACCCGGCCCTGATCGGTGAGCTGCTGAGGGACGTACGGGTGCCAGCCATCAGCCCCAACTGCCGTCCATCGGTTGAAGCCTCTGAAAATTCTGCGTAGCCTATCGGGGCTGGGGGGCTCATCTATCCGAGGGAGGTCAAGCCCTTGGATCTGCGTGATTACAGAATCCTTGACGTTTCCTCCTCAGACGACCTCCAGTCCCAAATAGATTTCCACTCCGACTTCAGGTCCCTGAGGAGGCCGTCCGTCCCAGCGGGCGCTCCGTCCTGGCACTCCGGAGCCTCTTCTGGGATCCACTCGGTCGGCTGGCGGGTGATGTGATGGGCGAACCCACCTCCATGGCACACAGCTCGAGCGACCGTCTTTTTCCAGCCCTTACCCCTCTGCGCAGCGAACCTGCTCTCGAGAGTGGTCACCACTGAAATCAGAGAAGGTCTAGCTCGGGCCCCAGAGTCTGCTCAGACAGCCACGCCCGAAAAGTGGCATACTCAGTACAAGAACGAACTTGACCAGCCCACGAGAACAGCTTCTGGTACAGCGTGGCCATGACAGGCAAAGAAACGAAGCTCCTGAAGACGGTGCAAAACCTTTCTCCACGCTCTAGCTTTAGCAGGGGCCCTGGGATAAGCTCCACCTCCTCCTCCTCCTCCTCCTTTCCCCCTTTTCCATTCTTTTTTCTTGTCAAAAACTCCCCCCTGTCGCAACCCGGAGCAGTTTTTTACAGCGGGCCGGGCGTTTCGCGTTATATTTCCTCACCACGTATGACTCTGAACATAAACATTGGCCACAGCTTCGCAGATGGAGGGCGACCCGTTTTCGAAATGCGGCTTTCGACTTAGCGCCGCGCACATCCGTGCAACAAAAAACGCCAGAGTTTCACGCATTGAGGGCGGCCCGTTTCAAAATGTGGCCCTCGCCTAGCGCGGCGCACATTCGTTTTTGAAACAAATGCCCGAGTTTCACGGATTGTGGGCGACCCGTTTTTCAAAATGCGGGTCTCGCCTTAGCGCCGCACACCTTCGTCTTAGAAATTTGCAGGAGTTTCACGGATTGAAGGCGACCCGTTTTCAGAATGCGGCCCTCGCATCAGCGCGGCGCACATTCGTTTTGGAAACTTGCAAGAGTTTGGCGGATCGTGGGCGGCCCATGTTCAAAATGTGGTTCTCGTTTTAGCGCCGCGCACATTCGTTCTAGAAATGTGCAAAGGGTTCACGGATTGCGAGCGGCTCCTTTTCAAAATGTGTCGCTCGCCTTAGCACCACCGCATTCGTTCGTATAATTTGCAACAGGCTCGCGGATTCCCATCACCAACGTACCCGCAATGGCGTTTTGGAGAGGATTCAGGGTCCTGCGGGCGCAAGGGTTACGTTGATTCGCTGTGTTGAAGTCCCAAGAATGGCGGTCTTGCGCAACTAAGGATTGTCAGCGCGCAACAGTCTGGTTGATCCGTGGCGACAGAATCCCGAAAACAATGTTTTGGCATGCTTCAGGGTCTTCGAACGGTTGCCTTTCAACGAGGCGGTTCCCTCAATGGAAATGAACCGTTGCAAGGGGCCGATGAAGATGGAACTCCTTTTTGCTGACTCTTGGGTTTACACTGGTCCTCCTCGTCATCTTCCTCTTCCTCCTCCTCCTCTCCGTCTTTCTCTTCCGCCTCCGCCTCCTCCTCCTCCTCCTCGTCCTTCTCCACTTCCTCCTCCTCCCCTCCGTCCTTCTCTTCCGCCTCCTCCTCCTTCTCCTCCTCCTCCGCCTCCTCCTCCTCCTCCTCCTCCTCCTCTTCCTCTGTACCGCACGGACGAAGACGAGGTCGGGGTCGCGATCCGCCCCAATGCAAACAAACTGCTCCTCGGAATTGCGCTCTTCCTGCACTCCGCCTCCTTCCTGTTGCGCTGCTGCGCGGGCGCGGTGGCGGGTTTTGCCGCAGGCAACTGGGTATGTGCAACGCACGTGCGTGCACACGCATTTCAAGAAAGGGGGGAAGGATCGAGGCACCCCCGCGAATGGACGTGCTTCGAAAGGTAGTGGTGCAACCTATGTGCTGCAAATCACTTGCCGAACTTGACGTTGTCAAGTCCACTGCTTGCGCAGACATCCCACCCACCCGCCCGCATCTTGGTATGCAAAACCCGAGAGCGATTGCGATGAGTGTTGGGTGCTGGCTGGTGCAGATCTGCGGCCGCGCTAGCCCGCGCATGCTCGCGCGCGCAGCGGCCAGCTAGTTTGGCCCGACCGACGCGAACGCGGTGGCGCTGACCGCTCGGCACATCCCAGCGGGCATTTCAGTGCGAGTCGGCGACTTGGGCGGGCGCGGTATCATGGAAACGTCGACAGCGGTAGACACGCTGATGGTAGTAGCGACGCCGGAGACGATGCTGACAGGGGCAGCCAGTGAGGGCGCCGATACTGATCACGCCGACGACGATGACGGCGTCTTCGCGTCGGTGATGAAGGTGTTGGAAAGAATTCGAAATGCGCACGCGGCAGACGCGCGAGAGTGGCTCACATGGAATTATTTGACACGGATCGTGCCACCCCAACACGCGCGCAAGGGCGTTCGAACGATTCCGACATGCGCACGCGCGAAGCCCGTTGGTAGCATGCTATGAAAATGTTGAAAACTTGGGTTTTCTTAGGAATTCGCAAGATCGCGCGGGCATGCTTTTGTTGAACATCCGTGTTGCGAAACACTGTTCAAACAAAGAATTGAACACTCGAATTTGCAATCCTTCCGAAACCGAAGGTGTTTGAAGGATTTCGGCATGCGCGCGCGACGACGCGCGCGTGTGCACTTCGTCCCATTTGTTGCAAGGGATTATTGAAAACTTCGGATGTGTACTAAACGAGTGTGCGCCCATTGTATGTATACCGGCCTGGCTGGGATGGTATGGACTCACAGGTAGGACGGACATCAGGTCATAATCAAATGTGTTTTGCATCGGTTCCTGGGGAGTCGAAAAGTGCGGGGGGGAGGGTGGTAGAACCTATATCTTTTTCAGAAAGGAGGATCCAATGTGGCGCACGCTTCCTGGTGTGATGTACGTGGTGTCAGACATGTGGTGCGAATCGCGTGGTGCGGGCTGTGGGGTGCGAGCTGTGTGGTGCGAGACGTACCAAACAAGCTACACAATGTAAAGTTATGTGGTGGCTTCTACGTGGTGCCGTCTGTAAGGCCCAAATGGCCCAACGCCGATCCACGAGATCCGCGCAGACCCTCGAAAGTGTATATCACGCTGTTTGTCTTTCTTCGATGTTCAGAGTGGGCAGGGCCCGATTTCGGCCTTGTCGCCAATCTTCCCCGTTCCGATCCCCCAGGCATCAACATCTCTGGCTGGGGAAACCCAAATGCACGAATAACGCTACTCCCCTGACCTCTTCCCGGGTGCGCTCCCACCAGGACTTCGAGGCGAATCCACGGGTGGCGACGAGGCGAATCCACGGGTGGCGACGAGGGCCTCCCAGGAGGCCCCCCCCAAAAAAAACGAGGCAAGGGTAGCGGTGTGGGTACCTGTTCCTCCGCTGACACTGGAGGCCTCCTGGATGGCGTCGGAGCAGATGGGGTCGGAGGATTGCGCGGCATCGCCGATGCATCGGCGACGTCGGCTGTTTGTCGGCGACGCCAGCGCGGAGAAAATCGGGCTCCACGTCAAGCCGCATCGCCGATGCATCGGCGATGCGGCGCGATCCTCCGACCCCCTCTACTCGGACCCCATCAGGGAGGCCTAGAATAATAGTAGGGTGCCCTCCCCGAACCGACCTCGATCTTATACCTCGGTCCGAATGTAGGCTCTTCGTGCCAATCGCCGTGCGCCGACTCACACGTGATCAAGATAGCTTGGCCGCGCAGCCCGCTTCAAGGAGGAGGGGGACAAGGGGGAGAAGGAGGAGGAGGAGGAGGAGGAGGAGAAGGAGAAGGAGAAGGAGGAGAGGAAGAGGAGGAGGAGGGGGAGGGGAGGGGAGGAGCAGGAGGAGGAGGGGGAGGGGGAGGGGGAGGGGGAGGGGGAGGAGGAGGAGGCTGGCTGTCCTCCTCGTCCTCGCTGTCGAAGCGCCCGCCCGCCTGCCCCTTGCTGCGGGCTCCGCCGCGGCCGCGACCGGCGCCGAACCGGAGCTTCGCCTGGCCGCGGCGCGCGGCCCGGCAGCTGGCAGCCGGCAGCGGGCAGGGCCGTCCCCTGTAAGACGAAGCCAGGATGACGAGAAAATCAGGTGAGGATAAATCGAGAATCTCTGAGATCCAGCGGCTCTGGAGGATGTCTCGGGCGCCGCGGCCTCCTCGAAGCGCTCGGGAACGCTCTGATAGCGTCCCCGAACGCTCTGGAACGGAGTTATACTCGTCCTAGCCCCGTCTGACCCTGAGGTCTGGGCAGCGCAATTTTTCCACACCGGGCGTTCTCGCCCGCTTTCGGGCCCCAGAACCATCGCTCAAGACAGGGAAGAGTACCCATGCCGCTACCCTTCGCTGGTGTTCGCCCTTGTTGCGCCGTCTGGGAGGCCCTCGTCGCCACCACTGCAATCGCCTCGAAATCCTATTCAGAACGCACCCCGGGAGAGGTCCGGGGAGCAGCGGTATCGGTACCCGTTGGTCTCTCCAATGACAGATCGCGCCGGCTCGAAAAATGGCGCAGAAAGACAACGATCACAACGATAACGAGAACAACGAAAACAACGATATCAACAATAATAACGATAACAACGATAACAACGACAACCGCGATAACGTATTATGGTTATCGGTGTTATCGCTATCGCTGTTATCCTTGTCATCGCTGTCATCGTTGCCATCCTTGTCATCGTTGGTGTCGTTACAACTGTGGCCGGTGCTGCCGTTGACATCGTTGTTAGCGTCGCTAGCGTTGATATCGACGTTGCCGTTGTTGACGCTGCCGATGTCATCGTTGCTGCCGCGATCGGCCTGGATACAATTGAGACCGCCCAAGGGGAGGAAGGACGCGCGAGAGCAGAGAGGGACGCACGACGAGCGGGGACGGGAGGCCGAGGAGAAGGAGAGGGAGGGACGAAAGGACGAGAGGGACGACGGAGCAGTCGGCCAAACCGTCGCGCGGTCTTGGCACATCGCAGGGCCTCGGGGCCCTCGCGCCGTGCAGAGGCCACGACGGAGGGGCTCCGGGGCAGCCCTCCGCCTCCGGGGGGGGGGGCCTGACCGGGCCCCACGGGGCCGAACCCGAAGAATCCTCCTCCTCCTCCTCCTCCTCCTCCTCCTCCTCCCCCTCCTCCCCCCCTCCTCCTCCTCCTCCTCCTCCCTCCTCCTCCCTCCCCCTCCCTCCCTCCCTCCTCCCTCCCTCCCCCCTCCCTCCCTCCCTCCCTCCCTCCCTCCCTCCCTCCCTCCCTCCCATCCTCCCTCCTCCCCCCTCCCTCCCTCCCTCACCTCCCTCCCTCCCTCCCTCGCTCCCTCCCTCCCTCCCTCCCTCCCTCCCTCCCTCCCTCCCTCCTCCCTCCCTCCCTCCCTTCCCTCCCTCCCTCCCTCCCTCCCTCCCTCCCCCCTCCCTCCCCTCCTCCTCCTCCTCCTCCTCCTCCTCCTCCTCCTCCTCCTCCGCCTCCTCCTCCTCCTCCTCCTCCTCCTCCTCCTCCTCCTCCTCCTCCTCCTCCTCCTCCTCCTCCTCCTCCTCCTCCTCCTCCTCCTCCTCCTCCTCCTCCTCCTCCTCCTCCTCCTCCTCCTCCTCCTCCTCCTCCTGATCGACCGGGGACGACGAGCTGGCGCCCCCGGAGAGGGGCCCGGGCCTCGGGCGAGGCAAGCGCCGTGCACAGTGCGGACCCCGGACGCCGGCTGTGCCCTGGCAGCCCTCGAGCCAGTGGGCTCGAGAGCGCTTAACCTCAGGTCGAGTACGTCCTCTGGGGACGAGACCGATGTTGCATCACAGATCACAGCAGCAATTCGGCCCCTGACTTTCGTCCTGGGCTCGATTTAGTGAAGTGATGAATTTCGGGGTCCTTACGTGGGAAAAACATCACTTCACTAATATGGGGCCCCTGGGGCCTCCCTTGGGCCTCAGTGGGCCCTGGGGCCCAAGATTAGTGAAGTGATGGTTTTCGGGCCTCGGATCTGGGGAGAAAAAGAGCCACAAAAATATGCAAAAAGATCCAGAAACACTCCGTACATCGTCCCCAGACTATCTTTTGTTTGTTTTTGACACTTCCTCCAGAACCCAGCAGCGGTGTACACGCCACGCCCTCCCGGCCTTGGCCGGAGGGGGGGGGGCACATGCACAGCCCCTGGGGCTTCGGCGTGGCCCCCGGGAGCAGCGGAGCTGTGCACCCTGGCGCGCGACGCCCCGGTGTCTGTCAGCGCGCTGTCCCCAGAAGACCTGGCCCTGCCTCCCCCGGAGCACCCGATCTGCTTTAGGAGTCCCGCAACGGTGCGGTGACAGACCGTGCGAAGACCTCGAAATCCCCCAAGACCTCACGGCACGCTCCGTCACCGCACGGTCTTGGGACCTCAGAGGCCCCTGTCGCCCGAGACGTCCTCGGAGAACGTCCTCGGAGAACGACTCGAGTCCCAAAACCGGGCGGTGAGCCCGAATCCCCACCGACTCACCGCACGGTGTGGTCACCACCCCCGTTTGGGGGCCCCCGACCGATCTTCATCCCGAGTCACTCGTTGTCTGACGGTCCCGGGGGCCCGGCGAGAGCTCCGAGAGGCCCAAAAAGAAACGCCGAAGAGCCCCCCGCCCTGGCGTCCTCACGACGCGCGCAGGTTGGGGCACAGGCTTTCGTCGCCCCAGCCCGTGCGCGCCGCCCACCGCTGCAAGCCCGGGGGGGGCCTCGCGCCACGAGAGAGCATCACGACGGGAGGGGCAGCGGTAGATTTTGGGGGGAGTGGCGAAACGCAGGGGGAGAAAACCGGCCTGGAATCGGCCATATGCATCGCCGATGGGTCGGCGACAGGCCCCCGATGGTGAGTCCGTACCTTCCTGGGCAGGGTTGGGGCGATTGGGCCCCCTTTGGCGATCAATGGGCGATTGTGCGAGGCGGGGCTTTATCCATACCCGCCGCCTGGGAACCGACGTCCTGGTGCACCAGCTGGCGGCATCCGTATCCACCGCAAGCGGAGGTCCAAGAAGATCGATCCCCCAGGCGATCCAAGAGGACTGGTCCAAGAAGGCAAATTCCCCCCTCGGAGATTGGAGCCTGTTTTTCTATCATTCGCGGTAACTAGGGGGAAAACAAACCTACCTCGCTTTTGACCACCCTTGCTTCCAAGAGATACCAAGCGATGCCAAACTACGGCCTGTACTGGTCAGGCCGCTTGACGAGGAGGCGCGTGGTATGACTTGGTCTTGCCTGGAAGCGAAAGCGGGGTAGGTAATTCACGCTCTGAGTAACGGGCGTGATCGGGGGAGGGGGGGGGGGGAGCTCGTCCCACCCGTCACATCACGGCGGGGGGCCGCCGGAAATCTCAGGACATCCTCGCAGAATCCGTAGGAAATCTCTGCACACGTCAACCGTAGAATCCGTAGAATCCTCGCAGAATCCGTAGAATCCTTGCAGAATCCGTAGGAAATCATCGCAGAATCCTTAGGAATCCTCGCAGAATCCGTAGAATCCGTAGGAAATCCTCGAAGAATCCGTAGGAATCCTCGCAGAATCCGTAGGAAATCCATAGTGTGACGTGATCGGGGGGAGGGCGAGGGCCGATCACGGCCGTTATCGCCCAGACCTGAAAAAACAAGCTCTTGGGGATCGATGGGTGGGGGTCGACGCTAGGGAGCCCACAATCAACATACGCGCCCAACCACGTGCACGGACACGGCCCCCCAAATCCGCGAAACCGACCGCGTGATACGACCGTTCGCGCAATGCGTACTCCCGAAACCAACGTGGATTCATGTGCGTGTTCGTCCTTCTTTCGCTTCCTCCTCCTGGGAGGCCCTCGTCGCCACCGCTGGATGGAAGCGCGTCGAAATTCTGGTCAGAACGCACCCCGGGAAAGGTCTGGGGAGTAGCGGTATCGGTACCTTTCGGTTCCCCCAGAAAGTATGGGTACGATGCCCTGTGGCGGCGCGCAGAGGGGGTAGGAGGAGGAGGGAAGGCTTCTTGGAAGGAGGCTGCTTCTCAGAAGGCGCCGTCCCTACATCTATAGACAAGACCCGCGCCTTCTGAGAAGCAGAGGTGTTTCTAAGAAGCATTCCGCCTCACCCCGAGCTACCCCCCTCTGCGCGTGGCCGAGCCCAACAGCAATGCCTCTCCATGTGGGACATGAGCTGCTGTCCTTGGGAACTGTTGTGACAATTCCCGTCGTGTCGGAAGCAGTCCTTGTGCTCTTAGGCAACCACTGCTGTCAAATGAGCAAGGACGGCGGTCCAACTGAACAGAATTGTTGCCCGATGGGCCCCGAAGGAAAACCAATCTTGCTCCAGATGCTGCTGTTGGGCATCGTATCCATACGTTCCATCTCCATTCTGGGAGGGTCGTCGGACGAGCAGACTCGAATCGGATCGAGACGGCGGGAAGCGACATCGGATCGGTTCGATCATATCGAAATAGACCATGAAATGGGAAGCCGGATTCCTCACCCCCCCCGTGGGGAACCCATCGTATGGGCGACCTCTCGGGAGGGGCACCAAAGCCGATGGGTACAGAGAAGCTGTAGGACGCGGACGCGGGACATTCCGTGGAGTGGACGTGGCCAGGGCTGGAAAAAGGCGGCACAGTCCGAGAACGGCTCGAAGGAGTCGGCATGAGGTCCGCCAGCGGGAAGAGAAAGAGGGCAACAGGCAAGGGCTGGAAAGGAGTGGAGGGGCTGGCCACAGCTGGAGGAGGAGGAGGAGGAGGAGGAGGAGGAGGCGGACCAGTCTGAAACCCAACAGTCATCAACGATGTTGGAGTAAACCCTCCCTCCAAGCTCCCTCCTCATAGGGCCCTACAACGGTTCCGTTCACTGATTGAACTGCCTCGTTGAAAGTCACCCGGTTGAAGACCCTGAAGCATGCCAAAACATGGTTCTCGGGATTCCGACGCCACGGATCAACCTGATTGTTGCGTCTTGACGATCCTGTGTCGCACCAGAACGCTATTTCCTTGGATTTCAGCACGGAGAAGCGACGTAACTCTTGCACCCGCATGATTCTGAATTCGTCCAAAACATCATTTCTGATACGT